TACCACTGACAGGGCTTCTTACAATAATTATTATGGCTGTCTCCGGCCCTTCTACAGAAGTACATGTAAATTTCCGCTGTCTTGCTGTTTGTTTACAAGATACTTTGTTAGTTAAAAATGTTGGAGGTAAACAGTAACTTGAGTTTTCTAGTAACAGAAAGGAAAGCCTTTAGCCAAATATCAAAGCCACTAGAATTGGAGAGGAAGAACTATTGTTTTAACACAATATTATCATATACGTACTGTACGAGCCCTTCTTAGTGCTTGTTTCTTTAAAGACATAAATTTTCTCTGCTCATCTTCAGTCTGGTCCATCACATTAATTTTTGATAGTAAATGTAAGTACAGTAGCAAAACAGATTGTGGGATTTTTCAAACAATTTATTAATACTAGCACATTTACCATTTTCATGCTTAGAATAAAAACACCAACTGAGATACATGTAGCTTATGTTTTAAAATGTCTTGAAAATAAAGAAGTTTTGTTTATGTAGAAATGCAGTGACACATAATTTTTTGACCATGACAGGAATATTAGCTCAGTTAGTAGAGCGCTTGACTGCAAAGCAGGAGGTCTAGGGTTCGATTACCAAGGCCACACTAATACTCAGGGTCAGAAATAAAGATACTTCTTCATTTGCTTTGGCAGCGGCTAAACTTTTAGCATGGCTCAGACGACCAAGTAAAATGGTGATCCCATCACCCGTTGGAGGTCTACTCTATTACTCCACACATTGACACTCACATAAAGTGCATTTTTTTAAAATGTGGCTGTCTTAAAAAATTTTATACCAACCTCTCCATTCTTTTCATCTTGGTTGTCACTTTTATCCTCTGTTTTGGTATTTTTCTCTGCTTGTTGTTTTTTCTGTTCTTCTTCTTTCTTTATCCTTTCTGCTTCTTCTTCTGTCACTTCTTGTATCTTAGGTTCAGCCTTTTTCTCAGCTTCTTTTTTAGCCTTTGCTGCTTTCAATGCTTCAGCTTCTTTTCTTTCTTTTTCTTTCCTCTGTTAAATTACAATATAATGGGAATGGAAGTTTAAAAGTTAGCAAGATGAATTTAAATTTTTCTGGAACCAGATTTCTTCTCTACCAAGATTTCACCTCACTACTTCTTCAATAATATTGAATGTCCAGAGCTCACAGAATAAGATTATGTTCAAGCAGCAAACATTTTATGAAGAAGAGAAGCAGAGGAGGTCAGCATAAAAGGGAAGTAAGATGAACTAAAAGGCCGTTTCCATATCTTAAATTGAAGCTTTAAAAAATGGTTGTTAGAGGATTAAAACATAAATATAGATATACATGTAGGACAGGTAGCGGCTAATCTAATTACCATATTGGTACTTAATTTCACTGGTCTTTAATTTCACATTTTTCGTGATTGTAACAAAAAATCGCAAAAATAAAGACTCACGAAAATAAATCATCGCGAAATTTAAGTAGGCAAAATTAAATACTCATATAGAACATTCAAATCACAGAAAAATTTTTTAACTTGTAATAGCAACAACGTATACAGGATATGTTTCGACAGTAAAAACTTGTTGACTGGTTTTATAAATACTGGTAAGCTATGTTCTGTATCTTCAGTAAATGAAATAATGTTACAGCTGTAGTTTGTAAAGTTTTCACACATCGCTTTTCCAGTTTAATTAAAAATTTGAAAACTTTCAGACTTTTTCAAAAATAAAATGTAGTTGAGAACGCTTAAATAGCGAAATTTAATGCCCTTTATTCTTGCGGGTTGAAAGCGTGAAAATAGAACCTGGCAAATACCCTCTCGCCAAAATCATGAAATTAAGTACCAATAAGGTAAGTCAAATAATTCAAGTCAATTTTTATTATGTGGACATTTTAACTGTGGGGGGACCACTAAAATTTTGAAGTTGTTGGGCTAGGCATGCATTTTCACTTTTAATAAACCTACATACACTGTAATGCAAACTCTAGGTATACCACCACTAACCCCCCACCGCCACCCCAACACACATAACACTGGTCAAACTGCAATTTACCATTAAAATAATCAATAAAATAATAGTCCTCCATCCAAGCCCATTTACTACAATTTCTATATAATATTATTCTATTTACTACAGCAACATACCTCTTCAACATTCTTTAGATGCTCTCTAAACTTGTTGATCACAATTTTCTCTGCCTCTGTTTTCCCAGCCCCTGTGAAAAAGTCTGTTTTTCTTTCCAGAAATCCAAAGAAAACATCCAGCAGCTGCAAAGAAAAAAATTCTACTGCAGTCACTTTCAACAAAGCCAAACTAAATACCAGATCATTGTTCATCCCGAATATTGTGACTGGGCATATAACATACACCAGAAAACCAGTACAGTCCAATCCCGCTTTCAGGGCACCTGCGTAATAGACTGCAGCATTGCACTGTCCCCGGGAAAGAAAGCGCTTCAATCTGCTTAATATGATGGACAGCCTGTTAATACAAACACTTTCTGTGGCCCCCTCAGAGTCCGTAACTGTAGTATCTTATCTGTGCAAAAAATTCAAGGCCATAAAGGGGATAATCCCCGGGGGGGGGGGGGGCCCTTGGGTNTTATATACCCCGTTCTAGAAAACGCCTCTGAAATGGATACCCCGTTCTAAATCAGGAGCTTCAAAATCACGACCCCGTTGGGCGGCACATACCCGTATAGGTAATGTATGGGAGTACCCCCCCCCCCCGGGGGATAACCACACATGACCGTTATAACCTACAACAATAATGCTTCTTTTTCACCCCTTCCCCATCAATATTGATTTCTAAGAGGTATACAGTGTATACTAGTGTCACCCTTATATGCTGATTTCCTAGGTAGTTTACTGTTTAAATGTTAATATAATGTAAAGAGGTCTCTTGCCCACTCATCCACCACTTTTCACTCATTTATATAGTATCATGCCCTTTAATTATACAAAATCAAGTATCGTAGTCCCAGGGGCCCCACTCACATATTTTAATGACGGGGGGGTCCGAAGGATTTTTTTGGGTCTGACATTTTGGCCAAAAGGGATTTTTTTGGGTCTATGAAAGACGCCGGGATTTTTTTTGGGTCGCGAAAACAACAGAGGGATTTTTTTGGGTATTGTATTTTTGATCAGCTCAAATCAAAAATAACATATACGCAATGGGTGATTCCAGAAAATATCCATACCATACCACGGGCGGCATCTTGGAATTCCGAGGGAGAGGGGGGGTTTCTTGGACTGGAATTCCGAAGACGTGGGGGGGTAACGCAGTTTGGAATTCTAAAGGCATAGGGGGGTGTTTCAGCTCTGAATTCAGTGAATTTCCAGAGGAAAGACGGCGAAAGCTCCGCTTGAAATCGCTGACCTGTTAACATTCCCAGTTTGTAAATGAAGCACGAACAGACCACGGAAGAAGTATGCGTTCATGCAGATGGGTAAGCAGATGGGTTGTGCAGCAAGCTCCACATCGAAGAGGCCTTAAAGTTGATGAATTAGTCAACTGATTAATAAAAATATAACCAAGTCGGTGTTTCTCGCCGATTGTCGATCGACGATGTGTTGTTGCGTGCTGAAAACTCGCACCAGTCTCTCGTTTCCAAATAGAACGCCTGACAGATTTTGTATTTCACGCCGATTTTCACGCCAACATGTAGGTAGTAAAATCCGACAGCGTGCCTTTTGATGCGCTGTTTAATTCAAAACTGTTTATGCGCAAGTGTTTTGATCATTGTGGACAGAATTCTTTTGCAGAGGGAAAAAGTGCAAGTTTCTCGTTCGTTTGAAGGTTTAGGCAGACGAACAGGAATTCCAAAGGGTCTGAAACAAAAGTGGAAAATTCCGGAGGAGAGGGGGGGTTAGCGATTTTGGAATTCGGAGGACAAGGGGGGGATAAGCATTTTGGAATTTCCGAGGGCAAGGGGGGGTTAAAATACTCATGCCACCCGTGGTAGGGTATGGATATTTTCTGGAATCACCCAATTTATAGTTTTGTTTTTGACCAAAACCAAAGTTGAAGTTGGCATGTTTTAGCTTTCCAGAAGATAAATAATAAAATTTGCTGATGCAAAAACACTGAGGGATTTTTTTGGGTATGCTAAAAAAAGTAGGGATTTTTTTGGGTAGACAAATTCTGAAGTTGGGATTTTTTGGGGTATAAAATTTGAACCTCTGTCGGACCCCCCCCCCGTCATTAAAATGTGTGAGTGGGGCCCCTGGGATCGTAGTGGTATTCTTCCGCTGATAAACGGAGCCCCTTACATGCATTCTTGCTGCTTTTATTGAGTATCAGTAGGAGAACTTTGAGTAGCTTTGCACGGGATTCAAATAATAACAATTTAACCACACTAGGACAATGTTGGTCAGTTATTGTACAATAATTATACTGAAGTTCGCCACCTTTCAACTTTAGAAAATCTTTTTTTGCAAATTTCAGGCATCCAGAAAGGCGTTTCTCGTTTTCTTGTACCAACTTACAGTTTACAATAAAGGTTGAAGCAACTCCAGAACACATCGCCAATTATTGTCAGAAAGTTTTAAAGAACGAGGCATAGAACAGTGGACGCTTTTGTTATTCAACGAGAAAATACCCATCCACAAAATAAGTGGATGGGTATTCTGAAGTTTAGCTCTTTGAAAAATCTTACGATCTTTAGAAAACAACAGAAAATCATTGCATTAATTTCTCACCCAGCCCACAGCAAGTTGCGGTATCAAACAGCTCAGTCTTATTAGCGAGATCCATGCATACATAAGCTTACATGTAACATACCATACCTCGTTAATCCCGCCTTCGCACTGCTGAGCTATTGCAAGCAGCATTCCATCGAAACGCTCCGAATGCGAGTCGGTCATTTTCTTTCTCAAACAGCGAGAAACGTTTCAAAAAGGGTGAAAAAACGTGCAAAATGATTGCACAAAAGGAAGTAGGACTCCACTTCCCAACGCGTGTTCTTTGCTGAGCACTTCATGTATGTGTTTATAAAGTAGCCGCTGTACTAAAACCCAGCGGCTCACCTTCTTCCCCTTGTTGATCATGGCGAATGAGGAAGTCGGATCACACGCATTTTCGTTTGATGATCTAGTGAACATTTTTAGCTATCTTCCTCCCGAAAGCCTATCTAAATGTTCCCAGGTTTGTAGAGATTGGCATGAAGCGTCCCACGTCGGCACTTTATGGAAGAGACATTGTTTACAGCGATGGAATTTTTGCCACTTGGCAAAACTGAAACCCGGTACGGTGATGTATGAATGGCAATCAACATCCCTACAATCCATCATATAATAGTCAAGGAAAGGTGCTTAAAACTTTAAGTTTCTCTTTTACAAAAGGCCCACATGTATTACGCTTATCAGTCTCTCCAAGCTTTTGGCATGGGCAGATTGGCATGGTGCAGGGAAGGGGAAGCCTGCGAGCAAGCTCTTCGGTGCGCTCTGGCGGCGGGGCGGGAAAAGGAAGGAAAACTTGCAACTACGTCTCTAGAATATGAATTCCACCTCCAATTCCCCTGTGGCTCCCCATCAACTGAGCTGTCAGATTTCCGCCAATCAGAGCGATGCGGAAACAAGCTCACAAATGTAAACAAACATTGAAAAACACATGCCAAAGGTAATGAGATCATTACTACTGCCATCTCCACCAATCAGCATACTGCATCAACTTTTTTGAAAAAAAAAATTCCAGAGACTTCATTACAAGCTCTCCTTCCTTTTCCCGCCCCGCCGCTGAGACCCCTGGAGAGCTTGCTAGCAGGCTAGGGATGAGGGGGAAATCAGCCTTTCCCCCAATGCTCCAGCCCTGTTACTGGTTCACCTGCAGTGTCCTGGGAATGGTGGAATGGGGTGTACCAGAACCAACAACCAGTTACTTTTTTTCATAAACCTGTCAAACAATCCCATGGTGGGTTTTCATGACGGAAGGCTTTACGTATAGATCATGCCCACAGACCCTATCACAACAAAACAATTATGATGGGTTGCAAAGTATATTTTGGATTGGTGGGGCTAGCCGGCATGTAGCATGAGCACAATGACTGCTTATCTAGTGGGGTTTAGAGTTATGCTCTCCCTGAAATTGGGAAAAAATGGAGCTTCAAAAATCACTGGAAATGCATTTTCATCAATCCTGAGAAAATTTTGTCAAATTTTTTCTCCATTCTGTCAGGTTTTTGCCCAAAAATGTACATTTAAAACATGAAAATTTTGTTTGCTTCTACCTGTTAACACCATAAATGGTGAAAATGCCGGCAGATGATGATTTGATTAGACCCAGTGAGTTGCTGCTTCTTAAATAGCAATGTTTCCAACTTAAATGGCCATAAAAAGTTATTCCATGTATTAATTACTTTTTAGGGGAGAGAACATGGCAAAAGTACTTCATTGCCCGGAATAAGATAGAAACTGGGGTGGCCACAGGTAGACCAGGTCTGGATTATGTTTGCAAAACCTTGCGTGGACACAAAGGTCAAGTCACAGACATGGTATTCCTAACAACTAACAATATCTATGATGAGGAAATAATAGAAAAGAATGCATATCCCATTGTCGCAAGCTGTAGTCAAGACAAGTCTGTTTGCCTATGGAATGTGCGAGAGGGAAAGAGTTTGTGGAAGAAGCAGTCCCATGAATCACCAGTAGCTTGTCTAGCTGTGGTATCCCATGATTCAGTCATAGCAAGTGGTGATGTTGAAGGAGGCATTAAATTATGGGATGTTAAAACAGAGCAGGACACAGCCTTGCAAGGCAGTCATTCTGCAGTTGTTACTGCCATGGTGTCTGGTAAAGATGTCATACTGAAAGGAAAAGGTGACACAGGAAGCAACCTCCTTATTGTTGGCTACAGAGATGGGTATGTCAAGATATGGGACATGCGAGTGACAGCAAGCCCTCAGTATGAGCTGACTTGCCCATTGGGTTTGGATAACATGACACTGCAAGGGGACCATCTCTTGGCCACAGCATCTAAATTTGAAAGTACCATCAAGATTTTTGATATCAGATATCTAGCCCCAGAGTGTTGGGAAAGACCTGAGATACATTCATTACAGCATCCTTCAGATGCTACAGTTTCATGCTTAAGCTGGGCGCCAACCAAGGGGAACCATCTCGCAGCAGGCTACAACAATGGTGACATCATTCTGTGGAATGGTGACAGTGGACAGCAGATTCACTGTTTTCAGGGACACCGTGATGACATATCTTGTATCTGCATGTTAGGGTCAACTTTAGTATCTTCCAGTCACGACAGCACAATTCGTCTCTGGGATTTGAATTTGCTGAAAGAGTCGCAAACACACAGAGACCACAATGGACCAATCACAGGCCTGTATGTGGATGCTTATCGTGTCATGTCTTGCTCACGAGACTACTCTATCAGAACATACTGCTGGTCTAAGAAAGCGTCTTCTCATGAGACAGGAAGCTCAAGAACTCTAGACAGTAAATACACCTTGCTTGGGGGTTCCCTTCAAAGAGCAGGAACTGGATTTGAAAAAGTAATTTGTGATTACTCCACTTGTGTGGGAATGGCTAATGATGTTTTAAAAGCTTACTCTTTTCAGGTGTAGTTAGTGACAATAGTTTATAGCAGGGTAAAGCCAAGGAATTTTTATCAATAAACTGTTCAGTTAAAAAATCAAAGAGGTACAAGATATTCAGAGATCCAGAGCAGATTTTAATGATTGTTGTGTCTCTCATTATGTCCAATAAAAGATGACAAATGAACAAGTCAATTAAAAAAAAAGATGATATATTTTGCATACTGTGTGACTCCAGCAGTCAGGGAAGGCCACAGCTTAATCCTTTTAGGTATGTTAATGCAGTTACAAACAGCTCTATCTGTTTATCTATCTATCTGTGGGACTGGCACTATGCGTTTGTCTAAGGTGATCTTGTCTTATAGAGAGTTCAAGGGAGTAAAGGAAGGCAGGGACCAAATCTAGGTGTCTATTTTACCAAGGCATCCATCTTACAGAGGCGTCTGTTAAGAGAGAGTTGACTGTATTCAAGAAAATTCCAAATTCTATTTTCTAAAATACTGGCCGGTATTGTGAAAGGTTTGATGTCCTCACCAGGCAAACACGATGTAAGCTATAAATCGACGAGCACGTTGTTGTTGGTTAAGATCTAACACAGTTGCAGTTTAGTTTCCCCCACAATTTCAGTACCAAAAGATAAATACGATATGCAAGAAAAACAAAGATGCATGATATTATTTTTTCAATTTTGTAATCATCTCCTCTGCTGGTTCGCTTCTCGCTTTTATTGAAATATTTGCTGTGGGATAAAGACTGCAATTATTATCCTCTGACCACCATGCAGGGTGACTGCTTTGCAAGTTGCGAGAACATTGTCTTTTAGTCCTGGACCTCATCTCTTTCCCATTTTGTTTGAACCCAGGAGTCATTTCATAAGTAGGTTGAGTATGATATCACCTGGGTGAACGTAGTCTTGAATAGGACTGTTGTTGTTGACAGGGCTAGTGACTGATATTTCGACAATCTGTGCGGTTGTCATCTTCAGAGTCAAAGTGAGTTGTACCAGGTCAGTTGAGTTAAATACCATCAATCATCACTTGGGACTCTGAAGATGACAACCGCACAGGTTGCTGAAACGTCAGTCACTGACATCAACATCAGTCCTATTCAGGACTGCGTTCACCCAGATGATCACACTCAACCTAATTATGATCTGGCAAGTATTATTATGGTACCACTTGACAGTACTTAAAAAGCAGTTTTATTTAAATCGTCATCCCACACTTTATATAATAATCTATTAAGCCCCCCATATCAGATAAGAAAGGAAGAAGAGAGGATTCTTTTCTAATTAAATGAAATGGCTTGTCTCCTACACAGCCGTCCTCTATAATGTCACACGATGTGGAGAGGAGCATTGTATGATGACAAAGAACAGCTGCCTAAGAGAAAATGAATCAACAGGCTGTAACAATACTTCACTCTCATGGAGCATGTTTATGTTATGCCTTCCCTTTCCTTGTCCAACGAACATCAGAGCACTGTACCTCTATCTGTTAGTTCCTCACTTTTACTACATAACGCTACATTAACCCCAGGGGGAGGATCCAGGATTTTTCTTAGGAGGGGCTGCACCACTAAGGAATAGCGTAACTAACTGGTGACGTAAAAAAAACTTTAAAAGTGAATAAGAAGAAGAAGGCGTTTGACTTGGGAATAACATAATGTGAACTGCTGAGAACACATGTCTCCATATTTTGCAGAATACCAGTTGGATTAAAAAACTGCAGGTCATTTTAAGGGGGGGGGGGGGTTCGCACTCCCTGTACCCTCCCCTCTAGATTCGCGCCTGCTCCCACCCCACGAACACCTGGCATGAAGCCAACTGAATCTTATACCAGTGGCTGACGGTAATCGAGACTATCGTCCGAGCCAGTGATAACCTTACACACAGGAAAAAAAAAACGGATTCCCATTTTTGGATATTCCCATATTTTGGACATAAAAATCCAAAATTTGGCAAAGTGAGACAAGTCCCAACCAGGGAATTCCCAACCGAAGTTCCCTGATTGGGACTTTTCTCACTCTTCCAAATTTGGGATTTTTGTGGGTATTCTTTAAATACCCTAAAATATCCAAAAATGGGAATCTGTTATTTTTTCCAGTGACAAAGAATAGAGGTTAAGCTGTTATGTCGGTATTGGCTTTTGTCACTTAGAGTGGTTTTCGTTTGAGTGTCATAAAACCAAAACCAAAGTAATTACTCTGGCCAATCACACAGGACACAGACAATACATTGAACCAATCAAAACTCGAAGTAATTACATGTGGCTGACTCAAAGCGCGGGAAAATGCATGCGAGCGCGTCACAATTGGCTTTGGTTTTACTTCTGATTGGATGAAAAGGTGGCGCGAATCTTTTAAGCCAATCGCATCGTGTAGAAAGTGCAACACCAATTACTTTTCGACACTCAAATGAAAACCGCTCTAACTACTTTAATTGCATCACGTCAGCCAAGAGAGGACTAGCTATAATTTGTCCTAAAAATTATTCAGCTAACACCTGTATACTGAAGTTTTCAAACTCCCAAACAACAAAACCTTTGCTAAAACAATAACGTTGACAGGCTTTCCTAATTACCCATTTCTCCCTCAATCGATCTTCTAATTTCTGTGAGAAAACGTCCTTTTAATCTGTACACAAATAGCTTAAATTTATTTTAACATTTTTCTGAGAAAAAAAGATTTCCTAGCCAAAGTACTACCAATCCAAGTGGTTCTTTTAACTCTACTTGATTCACATTTCCACTCGTAGAGAAATCTCCTTTTGCTGCATCTGTGTATTAGGTCAACAAGACTCTTAGTGTAAACCTGAACTAGATTGGCATGATCACCGACATATCGGCTTAACACAGTCAAAAAGAAGTCTGTCCCACCTTTCTTCTATCCTCTTTAAAAGCTTTTTAAAAGAATAAGAACTTCAGCGAATCCAGTTGGGTCCAAAACTGACTTTTTTCACAGGAATATAATGTTTCTTCCAGAGACTTGAAATTCATGACTGTTCTTTTTGGCTTGCATTGTTCTCTTTTTTATTTTCTTTGTATTAAAGTTTAGAAAATGAGATTTATCCCCTTCCACGTTCATACTAAGAGAAAGGAAAATTACTCAACAGCTCAAAAAAAAAAAATCAGGCCGTTCTCAAGCGTTCTTTCTGTAGTTACTCCCCACCCAGGTCTCTCTGCTCGTCAAGTTCAGTTCTTGCTGTAAGGGCTGACGTAAAAGGACAAAAACCCTAATTAAATATGCTGCATGGAAAGACATGTTGTATCAGTCAACCCAAGAATACCCGTAAACTTCTGACTATAATCCCTTGGCTTATACAACTTTGTAAGGGGTTTTACGAGGGCTTATAAACGGGAACGAGGGGCTTATATCCAGGAAGGCTAATATAACCGGAGTAAAAAATGTTTTCAAAACAAGCTGCATAGCCGTGCTGATCAAAATACTTTTTGTATTTAGTCGCTTTTTTAAGTTTCAAATCTCGTAAAAAGTCGAATTCATTTCAATGGTAGCTAGAGGGCCCGGGGGGGGGGGGGGGTACTCCCGGAAATTTTTGGTGGGGGTGTGCTGCCCGGTTCTTCAAATCCTGACCTGATTTCAGCCCAAAAAATGTAATTTTCCACACCCGTTTTCAGACAAAACCTCCAAAATCCATACCCGTTTTTGGACCCCTGGCGGACCTGCCGTTTATAAAGCATCTATTTTTTCATTATATAAATAAGACTGAAAAGAAA